GCGAGAGAGAGAGAGAGCGCGAGAGAGCACATACCAGCTTCATCACTGTGTCTGTCACGCGACTCTGTTGCCTTTTCGGGCTTGAACTGATGGTAAAACTAATGACATTATTTACTGTCTTTACGTTTATTTTGAAAGATGAAGCTCGCGTTTATGGTAAGGGGCGTTACATTTCTGATGCGTGCTTGTGGTGTTCGGCCAGTCACAATGCACTGGGTCAGCTGGCCAGTCAGAGCAGACTGCGCTTGTCAAAGGAGGGGGCTTTGTAGAAAACGAAGCGTTTGAGAGAGGCGGGGCATAGAGGACCTACAATAATGTACAGTATTTGAAAAATAATGTGTTTTTTGAACATTAAAGCATGTCAACATATTCTGTTACACCAAATACACAAAATAATGATCTTTAAAAAAGCGTCATATGACCCCTTTAAGAGTGTTGTGGCATTAGCTTAGCAACATGCTAATGTTAGGCTCTGTTGGAATCAGTTGTAAAGTGCTATTTTTGTGTCACACGGTGTTGTTGCATATATATAATGTTCCAAAAAGGTTCCATTTCAGTTAGAATGCTCCCTATGTAGGTAGTAGATTAGCAAAGCAGCTCACAAGTTGTATTTTAGATGCATGTGTGTTCTAATTCTTCAAACTAAACCTAAAATTTGCCAGGCTGACACTCCCTTACTTCTATCTCAGGAATGTTCGACTTACTCTGAAACATGAGGTGTCTGTCAGAGATAAATCAAGCTCTATTCTTTCCCCACAGTGGCGCTTCATGTTTTTTCTCCCCCAGAAGAGTTAACCTGGCTGGTCTTTTTCAGGCCAGCTCAAAATGAGCCGTAATGATGAAGCTGTTTTTGTGGTCGCTGACTTTATGCATGCCTTGGAGTTTTATTGATTCTGGTTATGGTCAAACGCCAAGTTAGGAGGATGGCCTACTTTCACCCATCTGAGAAACCAGGCTGGAAAAGTTTAAACGCATCCACTGCTCATTTTACAGACATTTTGGTTTACATTTAGCCATTGTTTACCAGCAAATTCAGCTAGTATTATTTTATTTGCTTTATTTTTACTGATATTTTATAAAATGTATTTTTGAATATTTATTTCATTTAATTTATTTTTAATTTACAAAAGAAGCCATACTTTGGGATATTTTGTTGACCCCTGCATGGTTTGGTTTTGATCTTGGATAAAAATGTTAGTCTCAATGGATGCCCCATTATGTCAAACCATCAGAAAATAGTCCATTCATTGACGAGGACTTTCCAGAGTAACTTAATTTCGCTCAATATAAACTGACAGCTGTTTAAGACACTTGGCTCTTGCCTTCCCAGGAAATAACTTGCATCCTCAAATTTACAGTTCGAACAAGCGTACAGTGTTCTGCATCGTTTGTTCCACCACATAGTAATAACTCTGCCAAAAAAAAAATTCGGTAATCTATAAATGAAATAAACAGCGTTGGATAAGCTTAGATTGGTAGGTCAGATTTTGGTTCTTCAAGAAACCCTTGGGAGCATGTGGCCTGTTTGGGCTCCTTTCAAAGTGGCATTCACAAAGCATTGTACTTCTGAAATGTGACTTATTTCTGAGTGAATGCAGGACAGGACTTCATTTCCATGGGAATTTGATTTGCATTTCCATAGGAAATTGACTGGAACGTGAAAGTGTATTACATTTTATTAAAATGACCAAAACAATTGAATTTTAATTTGGAGTGTGCATTAAAGGGGTCCTATTATGCTCTTTTACAAAGTCTTGATTTTGTTTTGGGGGTGTACTAGAACAGGCTCTCATACTAGGTTGCTCGAAAAACATTATTTTTCACATATTTTACATTATTACAACACCTCTCTCAGTCTGGCATGAACGGCTCGAATAGTTCCTGTATCAAATGAAAGCCCGCCTTCTGAAATACGAAATGTGCTGTGATTGGTTAGCTGGGCCAGTGTGTGTTGGCAGCACTTGGCGCCTGGTCAGGAAATGTCATGCCGCTTGCCATAGCCGCCTGCTGCGAGCTTCAGTGTAAATATTGCATCA